TCAAGCTCCTAGGATCATTTCATTCATCAAGATTTCATGGTACGAAATTTAATTTCAATCCATTCAAAATGTTTATTATTTTATCAAAATCTTTCCCAGATAACGTTTATAATAAAATGAACAGTTTTAACAATTCAAATCCCTCCCGGGCATGAGGTTAAACTGCAACCATGCATCCCTCCCGTACCTGGTGGCTATCCTTAATCTCCCATTCCATCTACTAACTGTACAACCTTACCCTTTTTTCCCGTAACCACCCTTTCCCAAAATTAATCTTTTCCTTTTCCTGTCCTAGGCGTCCCAGAGTCTAGGGAGGGGGCGATATGTCGGTCTACCTTAGTGGCAGCCCCACTGGCCGACTAGGGGTGATAGGATAGCTACCTACCACCCTGAAAACAAGCTTGCTCCTATTCAATTAAATAAGGCCGTAGACCCGGAAGGCCACAATGCCGGTAAGCCCGTGGATAGGGATCATCCATGTGCTTTTTCATTGGATCCCGTCGGTGTAGGTGAGGCGAGTGGCACCACCCGACTAGAGGCAACCACAAGTAGGACTGATAACGGAGTCACGAATGTTACCACTTTGCAGCTCCGGCTGCCACTCTGAAGAGAAAACGGACAAGGAGAGAGAAAATAATTGAGGACACACAGAATATAGACTGGGCTAGGAAGAAGAATAATTTCGCCAGATTTTGGATTTTAGAAAAGAAAGAGGGTGACTTTAAAGGAGATTCTCCCATCAAGTTGTGCCGAATGATACGTAAGCAACTTGGCCGAATCAAAAACGTAAAAAAGACTGCTGCTGGCCAACTGCTATTAGAAATCGACGACAGTTTATCGGCACTAATGCTTGAGAAGACAGTCTGTTTAGGGGAAACCTACCCGGTGACCTCGACGCCGCACAAGCGATTGAACTCCTCCAAGGGCGTGATCTCAGCTCGAGATCTAATGATCTGCCCGGAGGAGGAAATTAAAGAGGAATTGGCGTCACAAGGGGTCACCGAAGTCGCGCGTGTTAAAAGGAAAACCGAGAAAGGACTCGTAGACACAGCCACGCTAATTCTAACATTTGATACGCCGACACCCCCTACAGATGTCAAAGCGATCTTTCAAAGATTCCCGGTCAGGCCATATGTACCGGCCCCAATGCGCTGCTTTAAATGCCTAAGGTTCGGACATACGGCTATGAGATGTAGATCAGAACATACATACTGTTCATGTGGCCTCCCAGTTCACGAAGGGCAGCCGTGCTTGGATCCCCCAACATGTATAAACTGTAAAGGGCACCACCATGCTAGATCTAGCGCGTGTCCTGTATTACAAGAAGAAAGGGAGATCCAAAAATTAAAAATTGAAAAGAAAATGACGCATGTAGAAGCGAGGGCCCTAGTAAGAAGCGATGCGTTCATTAAAAGCACAAAGAGCTATGCGAGAGCGGCTGCCCAAACTAGGGCACAAAAAATAACTGCGGAGGTTTCCATTCAAACCGAGCAACCTCCGCCAGTATATCAATTTTCGGGTGCCATCGCCACTAAAGGCACCCAGCCACTGACTTTTGTCAGTGCCAAAAACCAGGGGGGTGAGCAATCACCTCCAGTAATAATCAAGGCCCCGACTTTGCCGGGGTCGAAAACCCAGAGCGCTCCTCCAGCCGGGGGGGGGGCGATTTTGAAGGAGCTAACCCATCCTTCAACAACTGGGGTGGAGATACCCACCCCACAACAAAAAATGTTGATGCCAGACACGGCATCACGACCCCATCTCCTCTTCCTTATCTCTTTAATGGATGTCGTGGAAGAGACATCCAAAGGGCATAGCTGGGAGATGGAGTCTGTGAGTCAAACGTCAACTGACTCAACCGGGAACGAAGGTTTTCCGCCAGTTCCCGGAAAAAAAAAAAAAAAAAACCGGGCTGGCCGAAGGGGAGACCCCGGAAGACAGACCCAGCAAAGAAAATAATAATATGGAGGCCACACATAAATAATAATGAACGGGATAATCATCCAATGGAACTTGAGAGGCATTAAAACACATATAGAAGGATTACGAAGAATTATCGCACAACTTACGCCTATAGCCATTTCCCTCCAAGAAAGCCATTTACGCCCCGAGGAACAATTCTCTTTGAGAGGATATCGTACCTACACCCGGGGAGTACCAATAGCACATGGAGGAAGAGCACACGGGGGCGTGGCTATTTATGTGAAAAACGAAATACAGTCAGAAGAAATATGCATAGAAAACAATAACGTTCAGATCGTAGCTGCCAGAATAAAAATGCCTCAGGAAATAACACTATGTTCAATTTACTTACCAGACCGAAATTGGAATCATGAAGAAGTAAAAGAAATAATTAATGGATCACCCCACCCCGTTCTCCTAATGGGAGATTTCAACGGACACAACGTGTGGTGGGGTTCAGAGTCAACTGACAGTATAGGAAGAAAAATAGAAGAAATGATTGATGATACACATTTAATATTACTGAATACGGGGAAACAGACACATATTAATACACATAATGGAAAATACAGCACTATCGATCTGACATTTGCCTCTCCGACACTAGTTCCGGATGTGACATGGGATACGTTGGACGAATTATATTTCAGTGATCATTTCCCCATCGCTATAACCAGCTCCATTCGTCTGGAACCATACGTGGCAAGTCCTAGATATAACCTGAAGAAAGCGGATTGGCCCGCTTATGTAACGTCAGTGACTCTCCCAGATTTAACGGGGGAGATAGACACTGACGTTAATGAAATTACAAACGCGATTAAGGCCGCCGCAGCACCATCAGTACCTTTGATCGGGGGACCGAGGCAACGCAGACAGGTCTCCTGGTGGAATAAGGAGTGCGAGGCGGCCAATAAAGAAAAGAAGCGGGCCTTTAGACGATTTAATACATATCCCACGGAGGAAAATCTTACAAGGTTCCAAATATCTAGGGCAAAAGAAAGAAGGATTATCAACGCGGCCAAACAGGCCTCCCTACATAATTATGTAAAAGAATTAACAAGGGACATGAACATGAGGGAGGTCTGGAGAAGGATTAACACCATCGCCGGGAAATACAAGCCACCTACGGTTCCGATTCTTAAAATCAATGACAATAGTAACGGATGTCAAAGAAGTGGCCGATGCGCTCGCAGACCATTATGCAAATGTCTCGAGCGATCGGTCATATTCAGAGAGATTTAAACAAATTAAAGAACGTCTGGAGTTGGGAAATGAATTGGACCTAGAAGGAAGTGTTACGGAACAGGTCAACTTAGACCTGACAGTAAAAAGGTCCTAAATTTAGTGAACTTTCTAAATAATTTTTTTTTTAAATTTTAAAATTTGAAAGGGTTTTAGGTTTTTCAAAACTACATTAATATAAAGATGTACTCCGGACTTGTAATTTTAAGCCGTATCGCTTTCATCTTGTTCAGGGACTTAAAGACTCTGATTATAACAAGCGTCTAACGTTCCACGCACAAATGTGGATTTGGGAGGTTGAAGAAAACGTTCTTCCATACACCCTGTAGACTGATGAATTCAAGTTCACTTCTAATGGCATACTACACAATTGGAATTTTCGAACGTGAGCAGAGGAAAATTCCAGAATTTTGTCCTCTTGTCATCATCATCATCATCAAGTTCACAGTATCAACTTTTGGCGTGGATTTCGGAATTTTTTAAGGACGGTTTTACCAACACTATATAGATGTTCCTCTGCAGTACGGATAAAGAATGATCCTCCAGCTTGGTGTATGTCCTGCATACAATTCTTTCCAGTTGAGACGTTATTTGAATCGTCACCTCCAGGATAGGTGGATAGAACCTCATATGTGATCTGTCGGCCTCATCTGCCACCCGATTTAACTCCACTTGACTATTTTCTGTGGGGCCATTTAAAAAAACAGTGTCTACACCAAATATAACCCAGCAACCTCAGTTGAAAAACTGCGGCAAAGGATAGAAAATGCTTGTCAATCGATCTCCCCTGACTCTATCGTCTGAGCACTTATCTTTGTATTGTTATATATATGTGATTAATAAATTGCAAACCAAAAGACTGTTTTTTTTTTCAAACTTTTTGCTATTTGTCATTTTTGACCAATTTAAAATCACATTGCACCATTGTTTTCAGCGTAAAGAACCCTTTAAAATGACGTTTCAGGATATATAGGGTCGTTTTGAAATTATGAAGTTGGACTGGGCCTGAGGTACCCTGTATAATTTTTTGCCAAAAAAGATTTTTTCCAAAATTTGAAACTACACTAAAAATTATTAAATACGTATTTTTCGTTTTTTTGATAGCGTCATTGGTTCGAGAGAAATTCAGCCGGCCCATCTAAAAGGGGCACCCTGAGAATATTAATGTGTAAGCAAAGTTGATCAGTGTGTTGTTCCCATGTAGCATTTTGGGATTTAAATAAGGCAGGGGAAGCTTTCTTTAGCCGTTTAAAACAATTTTCGCTGGTGAAGAATTAAACAGAATTTACCAGCTTAACAATTTATCTACTGATTTAATTCTCAACAAACAACTATTTCTTGTGATTTTGCTTGATTTAGAATAAGCTTAAAAACTATTGTGTGCATAGAAAAGAATTTAGATGGTTTAGTAATATTTTAACTTTACAAAGTTTGGTCGCGGCAGCCTAGTGAGTCCGCAATTATTTTCTTATTAAATTCACTAGTTTTCGTGGTCCGCTTGACCGAATAATATCTTTCAATTAATTAATCTGTATTTAAGGTATTGGTTGTGATAAAAAAGTCAGTGTCATAAGCGGGATTCGAACCCACGACCTTCGGCTAAATACGCCGCTGCTGTACCATTTGAGCTATCGCGACTTCCATCCACTCAGACACTAACTCCCCATTTTAATCTTATTACCAATTCTAAAAATATTCTAGACAAATGATGGAATACTTATCTTTTTTCAATTTTACTACAATCAATTCAAATTTCTTCAAAACCGAATAAATTTTAAAAATAATATTTTAACATATGTATTTACATTTGCTTGCCATGTTAATTTATTTTTAGAAAATAACACAAGTGTACATCATCAAAACTGACTTATAAGTGTTAGATTTTACACGTGAGACTGATATGTCGAGGTAGAACTGTTAGGGATGAGACTACTATGAAATTACCCGTGATGTTATGGTTTGCCAGACATGCAGATTGACCAAACAATTCTGGCCGCATATGTCGAGCGCCTGCTGGACGGTGGCTTGTCTAGGAATGTCAAAGATCCGGTCGCCCCTGATTTTTACCCTCGCAATTGGGTCCGCGGCGATAGCCATTTATTTTTGGGTCGAAGCATCCGAGCTCCAGTCGACGATAATATTAGCACAAGGTAAAACAACAATAGTTATAGCTCAGTATGTACGAGTCGATAAGTGGTTTACAATATTACGTTGGAAGTGAGATGGTAACAGATGTGATTTGAACAAAAAAACATTCCCTCCATACTTCGCAATATTAAAATTGGTACACATCCGTCATAACGTCCATACGTTCATATATCATTCGTAATTATGATTCGTCTCCGAGTTTTGAATTATGTGTGTTCATCTCATTTATATGTGTATTCATTTTTTCATTATTATTAAAAATTATTCACGGTTGAGTGTGAGCTGTTCAACTTTAAAATGGATGAGGGTCGGTCCAGCTTAAAAGTGGAGAAAATATTATTGGTTTATTATTTATTATTTGGGTTCTATAACATTATAAGCATTTCCATTGTCCTTATATTGAATCTTATTAGAGTGTAGATGTAAACCATTGGTTACACCCCGTAACAAATACTTTACTTTTTTCATTAGAGAAGAAATCACAAGGCCATTGGCGCTTTATGCGTCTTGGAAGATTTTCGGCAGGTTTGTGATCAAAGTTGCAAAGTTAGGGGATTGGAATAAAAGCCCTGAGTTTTATGGAAGCCTATGTCGACTTGTTGATGTTTCAAGGTCAATTGGGATCTGAAGGTTTATGAGGATGGTAAAGTTAATTGGAATGATTGGATTCTTTGGATGCTGGAACGTTCGGTTGAACCCACGGTTCTGTTCGGTACGTAAGGATGTTGTAAATAAAGCATGTATTTTGTAGTGATAATTTCGGTCTGTTGTCTGTTGCTAATTCAGTTCTATGTTAATGTGTCTGTTGCTCTGTGCTAATTGCGGTCGGTTGCTGTCTTTTGAGTATTTTACAACGCCTGTTTAGTTATATTCTTTTCAGTCGAGTGTAGGTTGACAAATTATTAAATAATTGGGGTTGGGTAAGAAGTGACATGGTAGAAGGTACAGGTTATTTTAAAAGGTTTTGGTTTCTTTGAGTCTGATTTTCCATAAGGTCTTGGAGGTTTCAGCAGTACTCTAGTGGGTCTAGATTTGCCGGGAAAAAAACAGCTGTGTCGTGTATATGTGAAGAAGTCTTATTGAAATGTCTGCAATATACTGAATAAAGGATTAGTCCCAGGATGCTACCTTCTGGAATACCCACTTTAACAATAGATGGGCATAAAGGACTATTTCTTCTGGATTCAGATAGGATCATATAGGATGAGGTGATGAATGGAGCCCATGAATTCCCAGTGGTGCCACGCGCGGTCGAACGCTTCCCTCACGCCTTAGAAAAAAGCGAACAGTAATCCTTCCTTAATTGAATCATACAGTGTTCCTAGTATTTTTGCTGCGTTTTTCTCATCAATGTAAGAGCAAAGTAGTATTTTAGAATTATTTAGTTTTCGATGTTAGAAGTATCGACCAATTCTTCACTCACGAACACTCTGGATCAAGGTCTTGAAGAAAAACGCAAATTCAGTTGTCACTGCCAACTTTTCCACCTGATTAAAGGTCATAATCCTGTATTAATTTCACGTTATGAAAAACAATTATTAAATCAATTGTAAAAATATGTTTTTCGTGACGGATATTTATGCTTGTTTGTTGAGTTTGTACGTTGCGTTTTACTTTCACAAAAAAATAAATACTCTTACAGTCATTCATTGACCACCATTATCGTTAGAATAAACAAACTTAAATGACTGAGGGCCAATATGCAAGAAAAGTGTCACAACTCAAAAAGCTTTGGGGTTATCACAGCTGGTTTTTAAAATTTTGTGTTTTCGCTTAAGCTTTGGACAAACGAAAAACAATATTGATATATCATGACAGTTTTTGTTGCCAACAACCATAACGGCCTGTACTTAATACATAAATAAAAAAAAATCTAATTCCATCTGCCTGTGCTGTAAAATTTGCTTTTGTCGATTTGAATCATTTCCTTGCGGGTGTGCGATGTATGAATGGTATTGATTTAAATTTATTGAAAATTAAATTCTTGGTTTATCCATTGCATATCCAGATTTCAGGTTCAGATTGGAACAATATCTCATAGGACTCGATTGGCAACTAACGAAATCTGTTGTAGGTTTTGGGTCTAATTAAAAATTATGAAGTTATTTTTATCATAGTTTAAAATATTAAAATCTACATTCAAGCTTTTTGAAACGACATTTTAAATACATAAAGTTTTTTAAAGATGAAAAGCAGGTTCTAAGAACTCAACATTAAAGTTTAATACCCCTTACCTTTCCTGCTGACTGCCCTCGATTCAGCCTAGCAAAGCTTTAAATATGATTGATGACAAAAATCCCAAATCCAATCTGTGTGCTATCTACTCTCAATAAATAATTCGCGGCCGAATCGATGTAATTGGGGATGAAATTGTTCGGAAAATAAGCGGTTTTTTTTGTGATTTGTGTTGGCACGGGGGCTGAAATAACAAAAGGGGTAATTAGAGCGTTTAGGACAAATTAAAAAAAAGTAGAGATCAAATAATTTGGCGCTATTTTGGTAATTACTTGAAACGGAATTAATTCTGAATAGTTTGTACCAATGTTTTTATGTACAACTATTTTTTTCCGACATCTGGGTCATTTCAGCCCCAAGCTAAGTCAAGTCAATATTCTATTTACACTTCTATTTACAAACACTACATTCATACAGATAAATACATTCATACACATAAATACATCCATACAATACACTCATTCCGTTTGGTCGGTGGAGTACTTGATATTCCTCCACCGACCTATACTTGAACTAAACTAGATTGGGGTCGATGGAGTACTTTTATAAATATTCCGCCATCGACCCCGATGTTATATTTCACCCTCACCCCTCGCCATTCACGCTAATAAATACATGCACTCAGACAAACATATAGACACACAACACATGAGACATACTATATACAATAAAAAACCCCAATTTCCCGTAAAAATCGGAACAGGGGACCCTGAAACCCGCTGCAGTGCTCGAGTACCTTCTTCAGATTGGATGGCATGCCTACGCGCTCCCTGTAGGGAGCCAAGACATGGCATGTTTCCAGTATATGGGACACATCGAGCAACCTTTCTCTGCATAAGGGACACCTGCTACAACTAATTGCAAGTTAATTACAGTGATAAAAACCGACCAATTTGAATTGTATTTTGCACTTTATTTACTAAGCAAGTAGGATGAATTAACTTTTGGACATTCATCAATGAATTGATATTTGCATTGTCACTTCGCAATACAACTCTTGCTGTCTAAATTAAAAAACTTGGCATTACATCATCACTGTATACACAGAAAAATTATTGAAATTAAACTTGGTTAATTGTTCAATTTAATAAAAAAAAAGATCATATAATGTTTTGATTTTATGATAGTAAACCAGGCCATTCACGAAATATTAACAAATCAAATAGATTACAGAATATAAAAATGATATAAATATAGATAAATAGGTTACAGATTTACAAATAGATTATTAATAAGAAAGCATTTACTTTTCTTTTAATACAAAAAGATACATAATAATTGTATTAGGTATCGTGGTCCGCTTGACCAAATAAATTCTTTTCACCTAATTAAGGTTTTGGTTGAGATAAAAAAGTCATTGGCACAAGCGCGATTCGAACCCACGACTTCGACTAAATACGCCGCTGCTTTACCAATTGAGCTATCGTGACTTCGTGAAATGGTAGAAGGCCGAGGGTTCGAATCCCGCTTGTGACCCTGAACTTTTTATCTCAACCAAAACCTTAATTAACTGAAAATACATAATAATGCAGCTAATACATAATTTAAATTTGGTCATCAATTGTTATGCTGTACAAAGCATTTTTCAACTAAATATAATTTTGACATTAGAGGGTCCTTTCTGTCGTGTTGCGAACCACATACTATGTACATTTAAAAGTTGTTCTAAAAAATAGAAATTATTTATTTATTTTTAATACTGTTGGAATATTATTTTCATCTAGAGCACGGAATATTTTTGAGGGTAGTACAAGAAATGTAACAACAGCGAAATTATTTTACCCTGCTGCATACAATAATAAATTGGGCATACACCAACAACATTTCTTTCGAACGAAGTACTACATTGTCATTTCATATAAATTATTTAGGTAATGATAATACACAAAAATTTGTGGTGTTCATAATTTATTAACGAGAATAACAAGGTTTATCCTCAATTACCCGGAGAAATATCGAGTACTTGGGGGTATTGTGGATGAATTTATTAGTGGGAATGACAGAGTTTATTCCCTATACCTCCAGAAATATCGAGTACTTTAGGATGCTGTGAATGAATGTGTGAACCTAATTTGTTATTGTGAATGTAAAGGCTTATTTTATCCACAATCGACGAAGCCCCGAGGTGCACAGAGGCTAGCAATAGGATAAAGAAAAGAAAGAATTGATTACCTTTATATCATAAAACATCAAAACTTGGCTGGAGAATCAGTAAAACAGATTATAAGGTATAAAACTTGAGAAAGATAAGAAGAGAAATACAAATCTAAAGAAGACAGGCCTGGCGATGACCAATATATTTTGCCGACCCTAAAACTAAAAAAAAATTTAATATACAACAAGTAAACTAAAATAGTACCATTAAAGCGATACAAATAAAAGGAGTACATGTGGACAAATCGCTTAAAACAATGTAAAATGAGAGGTCATAAGTTTCAGTTCATTTTAAGTTTATTAAGTAATATTTTTATTTATGACAAACTCACTCTAGCTAGTTAAGATTATGTAAATTTTTTTTGAAACCTAAGCTTCCAATAATGGTTTTGAGAAGAAAACATTTATCTAAAAAAATAATTTAGTTTATGGTCTCATTGTGAGATCTCAACAAATATTTTACCAAACAAAATATTTTAAAGAATGTTCACATTTTAACAGTTGGCCTTGTTAACGGCTGAAAATTGTGTTATAAAAATACAGAAATGTCAATAATGTGCCAATCTCACGGCTCACGACTCACGACATGCGAACAAATTTTTCATATATTTGTTCGAATTGACGAGAACAAGCAAGCCCGAATAATGCTGATGTTGTATTGATTTACCCAAGGAAAAACCGAGGGAAAAATTTAGATTCAATGGTCCCTTTGTTGGCTTTATTTTAGTAAACTCTCTTTATTTTAAAAAAGGATGGTAAAATTTTGACAAACTACCAAAGTCTTGCGTCATTAAAATCAGAAATAAACTTGATAGGAGGCGACATATTTCTGTCCTTTTGCCAATTGACCTACGCAAATGAGCCCACGACGCCGGCGGGTTTCACAAAATAAAAACCAACGACCATTCAAACGGACGTCGTGCAAAAAGGCAATGCGGGACGAAGCTCAAATCCCGCTGAAATCGGCCTCCGTGCCAAATTATATTTGGGATCGACTCAATGTACAAAAATACAACCAATTTAATGTTTTCCGAAGCAATCGGACTGTAGGTTGTACGTTATGTTGATTTGATCTCTGTAATGTTTAATGATTTCATGAACAATTAAGAAATGGGCCGGGTAATCAAACATTGAATTTAGTTGTAAGTAAACCAATGAAAGTCGCACGAATCTACAGAATTACAATTTCCTTAAAACCCTTTTATTCTCTCCTTCTCTCTCTCCCCCATCCTATCTCCATTTTCCTCTTATCGTCTCCCATCCATTTTACAAGTCGATGTACGTATTCCTATTTATGTATTTTTTATCTCCTTCCACATTATTTTAATTTATCTTTATTTATAACTACTTTATATTATACACATACATGTATGTTAATATTTTTATTATCATCTATTATTTGTCTGACTGGATACCAATTTCCCTACTTAGAGATTAGAAACCTTGGAGAAAATCGGTATCTATCCGTCTAATATCCTTCTTATCCATCCAATATCTTATGTATCTAAAACTTTATTTGTTCATTAAAATTTGTATTTTTCTATTATTCATCTGTCAATCAATTTAACTCGGTACACAAGTATTTATTTGCTTGACTCTCAGCATCTTTTTCTATTTGTTTTTTGTCTGCAGAATTTTTTTTTTCTATTTTTACAAGCCTCCATCAATTTAGTCCATGTATTAATTTCTCATTTTCCAAATACGTATCACTACTTTTAACACATTATGTACTCTCTCTCTCACTCACTCTCTCTCTCTTTCTCTCTCTCTCTCTTTCTCTCTCTCTCTCTTTCTATCTCTCCCTAATTCTCGCTCGCTCTCACTTTCCCTCTCGCTCGCACTTTCACTCTTTCCCTCTCACTTTCTCTCTCCTCCATCCTATTTCACTCACCATCTCCTTTTTCCTCTTATCGTCTCCCATCCATTTTACAAATCGATGTAGGAATACCAATATATGTATTTAATCCATCCACATGTTTTTAATTTATCTTTATTTATAACTACTTTACATGTATGTTAATACTTTTATAGTCATGTTTATTTATCTGTTTATATATCAATCTCCCGACGTGGAGACAAGATACCTTGGGGAAAATCAGTCCGACTATTATCATACTTATCTATCCAAATGTATCTAAAAGTTTATTTGTTCATTCAACTCTGTATTTTTCTATTCTTTTATCTGTCCATCAATTTGTCGTATCTATTCTGTTCACAAGTATTTATTTGCTTGACTCTTCTCTCTCTCACACTCTCTTTCTCTCTCTCACTCTCGCACTCTCTCTCTCTCTCCTTCTCTCTCTCTTACTTTTCATTTCTCTCATTCTCTCTTCACTCTCTCTCTCCCATTCATTTTTTCTATTTCTTCATAATCATTTTTTTTAAATCTATCTAAACGAATATTTAATGCGGCTTACATTGGGATTTATATTTCGCGACGATTGCGAAGGAATTTTACAAATAGACCGTTTACCTAACCTTCACCCTGGAACCCGTCCAACTCTGAGAGCCGATTTGAAAACAAACCGGTTTCTATGTCGATACGTTTAGGGTTAATTTGTATATTGTCACTTTCAATCGTTTTAATCGACAGTCGTTTGCAATAACCGAAAGAACAAAAGCGTGAGCGATTGGCGTTTTGCCCTTTTATAAATTTATTTATGTGTATAGTTTTTTTTAAACTCCCTATATATGATTTACGTTATATGTGCATGGTTGAAATCGGCATAAACAAAGGAGAAGGGCATAACATGTAGTAAAAATAATTTAGAGTTAATTTTCTAAGATTTGAAACGGCGGAAGCTCGCGTGCTTCTTCCCCTCTTGTTTTCTCTCAAAGGTCTCAGTGGGGTAGAAGTTTTTTACAAAACTGATAACAGCTGGTTAAGAACTTGAGAGATTAGAAACTTCACAGAGCCTTGCATTTGACACAGCACATGTTTCTGCTAAAGCCAAATGATACAATAGATAAAGTGTTGTTATTATTTTGGAAAAAAAATAGGCTTCCGTATTTGATGAATTCAAATTCAGACCTTAAATTGAAAAATCTAACAATATTTCGATGTACTTTTGGATAAAATTTTATATAATTCATATTTGCTCAATGGTCACAATTTACCGTATTAATTATCCCAACTAATTATTCTTTTCATCTAAGGTTTTTGGTTGAGATGAAAAATTAGTGTCACGAGCGGGATTCGAACCCACAACCTTCGGCTGTATGTGCCGTTGCTCTAACCACTTGAGCTATCGTGACTTCGATCCTCTCGGACACCAGCTCTCCATCTCAGCGTACAACTGATCAAATTTTCATTCTTTTTGCCGTATGTTCAAACGGCTTGTAATAAGGATTCGATTCTCAGCGAGCTGTTAGTGAAGTAATTGCTTCTTTTCAATTATTAAATTAATCCATATTTGCTCAATGGTCACAATTGACCATATTAATTATTCCAACTAATTATTCTTTTCATTTAAGGTTTTTGGTTGAGGTGAAAAATTAGTGTCACGAGCGGGATTCGAACCCACGACCTTTGACTCAGTTCGCCGCTGCTTTAAACGTTTGAGCTATCGTGACTTCCATCTTCTCTTACACCAATTCCCATCTCAAACCTTTACCAAATTTAATAATTAAAAGTAGTAATTACTTCAATAACCTCTCCCCGTGGCCATTTCATAAGTCGCTGAAAATCGAAATCTGATTACACGACATTTGAAAATATTAAATTCACTAATTTCGTGGTCCGCTTGACCAATTAATACATTATAATTAATTAAGGTTTTTAGTTGAGATGAAAAAAAGTTAAGGGCACGAGCTTGAAAAATGGCAAAAAAGAGGGAAAACTCATAAGGTTGGGTTGAGATAGGAAGTTGATGTCCGAGTGCATCGAGGTCACGATAGCTCAAGTGGTAGAGCAGCGGCGTATCTAGCCGAAGATCGTGGGTTCGAATCCCGCTCGTGCCATTAACTTTTTTTCATCTCAACTAAAAACCTTAATTAATTGTAATTTGAAAATATGGTGAAAATTCGAACGGCTGTCGGTTGAGATGAGAAGTGTTCGAGGAGATGGAAGTCACCATAGCTCAAGTGGTTAGAGCATGCGGCGAACTAAACCGAAGGTCGTGGGTACGAATCCCGATCGTGACATTAATTTTTCATCTCAATCAAAAAGATAAAAAGAATAATTTATTGGAGTTTTATATACTTTAAATCTCGTACTGTATTGTAAAACTCATACTTTCAAATTAATTTTATAATTTTAGAGGCGCGAGATGTCGCGGAAGTTAATAATATCGAACTGGAGAAAAGAATCCAAGAGCTGAAAATGTCCCGGCCATCCCCGTTGTGCAAGACCCCCCAGCCGAATTTGGTCCCTTGTGGAAACTCGATTGCCGACAAAGCGACAAGGCAGCTCGTGCTAACGATGAGGCGTTTGAGCGACAGGGAAAAAGAAGCCTGCCGCAATGTCACCCATTTGGTCAATGAGCTAGAAGGCATCAGGAAGGAAATTCACGAAGCTTACAAAGAAAGGAACAAATACAGGAAGAAAATATGCTGCCTCGAACGGTATTCGTCTTCCAACTGACAGTCAAGTGAAAACAATTGTGATCGGTTATGTGAAATGTCTGCGTTTTGATTAAATTATTATGAAAACACTAGATTAAATGTTTACAACTAAAATGGTATTTTTTTATTTCTTAACTCTTAATTGTAAAAAAGTAATTCCTGTCAAGCATGAAGGCTTAACGTCCAAAACTACCAATCGTCGAGTCATACACATTACAATATATTTTTTACACCATTCTAATTAAAATTCCATAGGCTACGCTTTCAAACACGGAACCGCCAGCATGGGCAAATACGAATTTCCAGGCTAACCTTTCAGCCACTCCAGTCTTCATTTGAACTGTACTAATCCTAAAAATGACTTTTACTGTACTTTTGATTACTTATAAACAACATAAAATATAATCGGAAGATTTCTCAAAGGGGTCAGCGGGCTCGTATAATGTCGTCTGATAATTTTAGCCTCCCTGGAACAGCTAGCAAACTAAATACAGTAGAACCTTACATATAAGTTATTTTCCGGCGCATTGATCGTCTGAATGGTTTCCTCCTTCAAACAATGGAAACAATATCAGTAGGAAACTGGGTGTGTCGGTGGCCCAACGGTTATTGGCACTAGCCCATCACTGAGGTCCCGGGTTCGAAAACACCGTAACCACAACAGTTCATATGACCCCTATAGAATACACAGATACATACAAAAACATAACACATAAATACTTTCATGACCCCCGCCTCTCCCCGAAATGCCCAAATCGTGGACAGTACCTCGAGGAACCCTCACGCAGTGTCCTGGTGAAAAGCCAGACAACACTCCTCCTTTGCAGCAGGTTTATTCAGCTAAATCTAAGCGAATAGAACGTACAGTATGAATAAAATATCGACAACTGTGAAAAATGAAAAAAAGAGGCAAAAAGCCCAGTTTTGGCTTTTTCGTATTTTCTAATTTCAGGACGTTTTACATTGGTTAATCGTTTCTTTTGTTAATATCAATTTATTCAACCTGATCTAAGCTAATACAACGTGAAATATGAATCAAATATCAATAACTGTGGAAAATGGCAAAAAGAGGAAAAACGTTCCGTTTTAGCTTTTTCGTATTTTCTTATTTCAGGACTTTTGATATTCGTTAATCGTTTCTTTTGTATCAGTGTGGTATCGGTATCTTTGATATACCTATCCAGACATTACATCCTCACACAAGAGTACTCCACAGTTTTTGGGATGGGAGGTAGTCATAGTAGTAGAAGTAGGTAGTAGTACTTACATAAATTAGTAATAATTGCACCAACTCAGAAAACCATATGACAGCCTTGAGGAGTTCGAATAGAGATCCATGCCAGATGCCGTTCCGTATGCCACGCATAGCACCTAATTTAAGTAAACCTAATATGGCCTATACTTAACCTCGTTAGTAAAAGGCGAAAGATTTATTCGTTATGAACGGTGCCCACGTTAGTTATGAATTTATTACTTTCCATTTCTTTTAATAAACTATACGTCTTAAATACGTATATATAAATTGTCTTAGGATAGAGTAAAAGTTAGCGGGAAAAATTGCTTCTTTCCTTCTGAAATAATATATTAAGAAATTCAATTCGTTTCAATTTATCCTGAGTTTATAATTATCCATAGCACAAGGATCGTATTATAAGATGTTTAATTCCTTTTGCCTTGAAACTTCATAAATGTTTAGCAACAAAAAAAATTAAAACTTTACTTTCTTTAGTGAGCAATAAATGTGCAAAAATTTGTGCTTTACAATCAGAGATGTTCCGAGTGCGACTCTCAATGAAAGCATAGAACTTTACTGTTAGAAAATTTATAATATTTAAGTACGGAAAGGAAAAAAGCTTAACGTTTTAACGTTGGTAAATTAGCCTTTTTAAAATTACTTGTAAGACTAGCTATTGTGATGTACTGATAATGGTTTTCAGCCGTACAAAGCCCCCTGAGGACGGTGAGCCTAAGGGCACTAACAGGGCCTATAATGTAATCACTGCCTAATGACCAAGCGCCCCAACTCCTTTCAGAAGTAGGAAGAGGCAAGTTCGACGCTAATAGTTTACTACACAAATACTTATAAAGCGGATTTCCAAGCCGAGATGATAACCGTACCCATTAATCTATTGATTTTATTTTGTCATGTTGGGATTTTAATTTTAAAAACGACTGGAACATATTTCCTTTTTTTTGTCTATAATATACCTATATAATTTAGTAAAAATGTGTGAATTCAAAAGTCAATTTGTACCAGAAATTAATTACATTAACCATTTTCACTATTATTGGCAGTTCAAGAGCGTTTTGTAACCACATTCACCACAATTAATGTTAGATTCTGACTTTTTTGATGAAACTTCATTTAGCGCAATTTTTATAAGCCTGGAGAAATAAAGAATAAACAAAATGATGTAACTATATAGAATGCATAAATGAAATTTTGGGAGTACCTGTTTCCAAGAAAAACTATTTTTGCTGACTCGCGAAATTGTCATTAGATCCTGCCATTTTCTGGCCTTCCATGTTTTTGTAGTGGGACTTTTTGCAGTTTATAAAATATATAGAAATTGAAAACATATAGCTATATTAATTGAATAAGGGGAATTGTGCGAATACACGTTCTAAGATGAACCATTTTTGCTGCCTCGCCAAAATTGTGGTTAGACGCTGACCGTTAACAATCATTTAGCACAACTTTGTGGAGTTTACAAAACAAGGCACTTTCTAACCGTATTGTACTAAGAATTTGGTTGACCGAGGTTTAGATCTCAGCAACTATAAATTTTTGAAAAAAAATAGACAAAATAAAAAAACATATAAAAGATTAACCATTACACTATGGCATTGACGAGGAGACTAATTAACGAATTTGTAGCAAGGAAAATTATTGCTCTAAATTTAAATACTGCCCCAATTTTAAATATCGAGATGGAAAAAAATTGATAGGCCAACCCTTTTTAAGTAACTTAAATTTATACCCAGACTGTCCCAAAAAACCTTCTAAAAATAAATTTGATAATATTAGTATTACAAATATAAAATAATCTAACTCACATTGCAACGTAGTATATAGGGTATTGGTTGAAATGAAAAAGCTAGTGTTTTCAGGATTCGATTCCTGATTACACGACGTTTGAAAAATGGCAAAAAGGAGGGAAAATTCGAAAGGTAGGTTGAGATGGGGGTTGATGTCCGAGTGGATCGAAGTCACAGTAGCTTAAGTGATAGAGCAGCGGCGTATTTAGCCGAAGGTCGTGGGTTCGAATCCCGCGCGTGACTCTAGCTTTTTCATTTCAGTCAATACCTTACATAAAGATTAATTGATTAAAAGAAGTTATATGGTCAATCGGACCACGAAATATAATGGATTTAGTATTAAAAAGGGTTTAGTGCGTGTTCTGTAACGTGCAATATGTTGGACAAACGAAACAGAGTATATTGTAATAATGAAAAGAAAATTTCAGGCTTGGCGTCAGATGTACTATAAATGAGCCTTTTTTCAACTTTTATTCCTCTGAAAGGGAAATGAACTTGGAAAGGCGACTACTTTTAGAAAAGCTTTTTACACTAATAACACTCCATACTTACAAATTGCAAACGGATAGGGAACCAAAAAAAAAGGAAAAAGTTGGGTGGGCGCCTTTTTACTTCTATGAGCGTTAGACGAAGAAGATTCTTCCGGTTTGTAACAGTCCACATCAGCAGCAAAATAAACAGTCTTTTTGTATCTCATATAATTGTTACCTGATATTATTTTCTTCAGTTTTTAAATTTTAACTTAAAACAACGCTTAAACTACAATTTTTACCCTCGAACCATCCTCGTAGAAGAGAATTGAAGAGACAATGGCCGCGAGATCTTCTAGGATGTGGAGGTGTTGATAGTGAAAGTGATAATGGAACAAGCTACAACGTTTTAGTATCATTGAGGTAATAACAATTGGTGTTTTCTCCACTTTTTAATTTTGTTTATATATCCTTTCTCAATTTTACATGTTACCTATTTGAAGGCACTTGGAATCTAATAAAGTGAGAAGTTTATGGGCTGACAAACAACTGAGGTCATCGCCGGCCCTCTGCGTGTTTTCCTTCTTTTTCTCTTCTTTCGCGCGTATTTTCTTTTAAACTGCAGCCGTTTGAGCGTCTCGATCTGGTTACTGACTCTCAGATTTCAAATGTCCAGAGTACTCGACATTGCTCGGGGCGAGGTTATAAGCAACCCCTTCCTTTCTCGCTAAAAAATTACATTCATTACAATAAATTAACACAAACACAACACTCGATAGAAACATAGACGTTTGGTCACTGGTTGACCCTAATAAATACAAATGTAAAAAATAATAATAAAATTTAAAAAAACACTTCAATTTCAACAGTACGTAAAATAAGACTTTAAATAGAATTAGTTATAAAAACATTGAAACTTCTCAATTTATGAAATGAGAAAGAATTTTATTTACTTTGGTATATGTTTTTGGCCCTGAGCATGGCGACACAGATCGCCGGAAATATGCGTAAGCCCAAAAGGTCTATTTTTTAATCGCTGAGACCTTATGAAGATGACCCTAATGTAACAATATCCGAAATATTCGTACTCTAGGAATAAGGAAATTATTATAACCCAAACTTATTTGGTTGATGCTCCTGTATAATTCATCCTCGACTGTCAGTATAACACTAGTTTTCAAATCTGACTGGTATAAACTTTCATCTGAAAATGTACCATATTTTCTATTAAAACTTTACAGAATAATATGTTTTATGGTTTAAAAATAGGCTTTTCTTTTTTGTTTACTGTCTCTATTTTATAATAAATAGACAATTTTAATCAATTTCAATTAATTAAGATTTTTAGTTGAGATAAAAAGAGATTGAAAGATATTAATTGGTCAAGCGGACCACGAAACTAGTGAATTTAACAATTTTTAATAAACGAGAATTTTTTAAATACTCCTTTAAACTAATTTTATTATTTCCTAATACGTTTTTAACTTTTCATTAATATGATTCAAGATTGGACCAATTTTAAAAGTAATGTATTGATTATTTATTGTTATTTAAATTTTTCTTTTTTATTATTAAATATATTATAATAATAAATAATATTTTTTA